ACTTTTTTTTGGGTATTTTTAATAAAGAAAGAATGAAAAATGCAAATTTGAATAGTAAGAAATCAATAATGAGAATGTTCTTGGGGAATGAATTAATGACTATCCTAGTTTGTTTAATGATATGAGAACAACTTAAATAGTTAAAACTGGTTTATATAAGTTATTCCTTTTAAATTAATACTCAATTAGAACATTAATTACTTGTTAAATTCATTTCAAGCATAATCTCTATACAATTCGCATAAAAATCATACTAACAATGAATTAATAAAGGTATAAACATAAATATATGTATAAACCAAGTACTAAAACTTATAAATACCAATCCAAATCTCAACAATTCCAATCCAAACCAAGAATTACAACTAGCAATTCCTAGTTTTAAACCAAATATAACAAACTTCAAACCAAAAATCATCAACAAAATAGTCTAAACTAAGTACTAGATTTAAATTCCCATTTGTAGCTCTCAAACTCATGCCATTGAATTCAATCCCAAAGAGCACAGTGAATTTAGCCTCTCGTAGCTCTGAATCCAGTCACAACACGTCCTAAGAATTTAGCAGCTATAAGAAATGATGGTGGTGGCGGCGATGAGGCGTGGTTGCGTTTTTGCATAAAGGAAAAATATGAAAAACGGATATGATGGATTGTGGTCTGCAGCGGTGGTGTATGCGCAAAGGAAAGGGTATTGATGAATGGAATTGAAGGGTGGGATATGAAAAAAACTGTTGTGCGCGTGCGTCCTTGTATATACTACCTCCGGTCCTAATTATAAGAGTCAGTTGATTAATTTGAAGAGATTAAGAAAGTAAGTTGAGTTAGTTATTTGTCCTAAATATATGTTGTTTTTCTTAAAATATCTTTACTAATCAAGTGTATTGGTTAGAACTATCATTGTTAGAAGGGCTACTTTAAAAAAAAGTATAAATATAAGAGACAAAGTGGATTGGGGTCTTATATTTAGGACTAAAATAAAAGTCAAACAAGGTCTTATATTAAAGACCAGAGGTAGTATATGGCAATTCACGTTGGCGGCGTCCTACTTGGCAATTGATGGATTTGGTTATAACCTAATGCCTTTTCATAAATCATAATCCGTGGCTTCCATTTTTTGCGTTTTTTTTAAAATTCTTTTCTTTTGTTTCAGCTTTCCTTTTATGTTTATTTCTTTTTCTGAGGCCTGCAAAAAAAAAAAATTGAGATACTATCATAAAGTTCAAAATTAATTACTTAGAAAGGAGATAAAAATATGATAAGATTTTCTATTAAATCTCTAATTTTATGCCACCAGTATTTAATTCAAAATATCCATAATATATCCAAATTATTCCACTTTAATTGATAAATATCCCTAAAAAGATATCAAATAATATAATAAAATAGGGATTTATCATTAATCTTATAAAATTAAAATGAATTTTCTCATTTTCTATTTTGTCAAGATATAAATATGTATAATACAATTTACCAACTTTGACTTGCCATAGTAAAAATTATTTATGACTACTTATTATTTGAAGCTTAGAAGAAGATGACGATTGATGGATTCAATTGTGCGGCGGAAGCTTCTTGGGGTGTGGGCATAGTAGATTAGGGTGTAGAAAAGTAAAAGAGTTGAAAACTCCAAAAGCCAAGAAAGAATTAATATTTTATTCAAATTAATTTGAGAATATAAAATTCTCTCATCTCCCATCCCAAAAACCTCATTTTTTTGAGGAGAGGTTAGAAAGGAATAGGAGGGAAGGGAAATCCCTCCTCTCTTTAAAAAACATTTCAACTAAACGAGAGGAAGGGAGTAACTCTCTTCTCTTTCCCTCTAAAAAAATCCGTACCAAACATAATGTGTACGTTTTTCAACAACAAAAAGAGAATGCAAGCTGGGCTAGGCTTTTGTAGTTGGATTGGATCACAATATGTGGTGGCTGAATATAGGAACCAGGTCTGCCTTGGTATTTCCCCTTTTCCGTTTCGGATCTCAGTGGTGAGTTTTCAAATCTGACCCAATCAGACCAAAAGGGACAGTTCTAGATGCAACTTAGTCCGCGTTGATAAGCTAAAAGTTAAAACAAATCTGAGTCGTTTAAATGACGTTGATAATCTGTCACGGCCTTATGGAGTTGTTAAGAGCTCAAAACCGAGGAAAATATTCTCATAAGAGGATTATTATATTGCAAGTCATAATGGCATTACAACATACAAATGATAACCCTTTGATTGGACGAAAACAAATAACCCAAACCTTTGAGATTAATGAGGGAGTTCCATGTTAACCTCCCTCTTGGCGAGGATCTAACTATCCCACACCCCTATTATATGCACTAGGACTCCTTTTATTTGAGCGCATAGAGCCTAGCATGATTAACAACTAAATGAGGTTAATATTGATCAACACACCTTCTCAAGTTGACGCTACTTAAACTGTTAAACTGTTGGGTCATACTTAGCTCATCTTTAGTGGATTAAGGCCTACTAAGCCCAATACAAATGGGACTTTGATAAGAATAAGAAAAACCATGGGTCAATGTTTGTGATATACCCACTTCGTTTAAATCAATTGGCGGCACAACTGTAAGGAGATATATATGCGTGTGTGTGGGTTGAGGAATGGGTTTAGTAGTGCACTAACCTCCTGGGTTAACTACCTCTTCCCTCCTCAGAGTCTCTGTTCTTCCTCATCTCTGCATTTGTTGTGCGTTGCAGTCGGTGTCCAACTTTGTGATTCGATTTGCCTTAGACTATTAGGTTACTTTGTCAAATTCTAGGTACGGCGGCCGTATTTCTTCACAAACTAATGAAGTGTTAACTTACAACACAAAATAAAAGGGGGCAAATTAAAATATCATGGCACTTTCAGCCACAACGAAGACTATATGTGGACTCGTTCCTTATATCAGAACCTGGAAGTTCTTCTTCAGCATCAAAAAGATCTATCGCTAGATCATATTTTTGCTTTGTGCAGAATACTCCTCCGGTTTTCAATATAAAACATTTATACTAGTGTGTATAAGAGTTTTATATGTAGGATCGGAGGAGTATAGCAGTTTGAATTTGCTTTGTGCAATTGAAGTAACTGTTGCTGCAATCCCTGCCTTATAGCTTGCTGCTTATTTATCTTCAAACCAAAACAAATGAGCCCATTATGTTGCTTCTCTACTACCTTTCCTAATTTCAATTCCAAAATCTCGCACATGAAGTTACATGAATCAATATGAAAAAATCAAAACATAGTTACAAAGATGCAATAATTTTTCCATTTTCACTGTAAAGATACAAGGCAAAAACAAGACAACACATACTGCTCGATCTCTGCAGAATATCTTCTAAAAATGCGGTAAGAAATTAGAGATCTTGAAGCTAACAGCGCCAGTTCCCTCTAGTTACATTACCATATCTTGAAGTAAAGGATATGGAAAAAAGAGAGAGAAAAAATCTTGATAATCTATTTGGTTATTAAACCTCGACTTCTTTCACGAAATTTGTTTGATCATCACAGTAGCACAAAAAACAATACATTAAATATTTAAGTTCCATTTATAACTTTTTTTCTTTTAAAAATTGTCCATAATTTAAAAAAATTAGAAAAAATCACAAAAAGACCTTGAAAATATAAAAAGTGCAAATAGAGACATGTGAAAACATTAAACAATCCTTGGGTCTATCCTCTGTCACTGAGGCCGAACTGCTAGCAATTAAACATGGGTTACAGACTGGATACCAACTGGGCTTCGACAAAATTATCATAAGTTCTGACTCCTTATATGCTTTCAATCTTCTCATGAGGAACAATGCACCTAACCACCCTTTGGGTAGTATTATCCGTGAGGTAAGAACCCTCCTGTTTCAACATGGACAGATTGAATTAGAAGCGCTATCAAGGGCGTCGATTTTCTAGCTAGAGAAGGACAATCAAATGCTGAAGAGCTAACTCTTATTCCAGAGGTTCCAGCGAGATGCTGGGAGACTTTCTTGGAGGATTTGCAGAACAATTGCCAAATTCCCCTAGCTTAGACGTTAGCGGGTTTTGCTTCTAGTTTACTATGTTGACTCTTTCTTTTCAAGCTTAGCTTGCCTTGTAATCTCAAAAAAAAAAAAAACATTAGTATGAGTTTTAACAATAACTGACAAGCAAATGACAAATTTTTATAAAATGGTCTCTATATGTATTTTGTTTTAAATTTTTAGAGTCTTTTTTTGCAATGTTTCCAAAAAAAACTACTAGTTGAGACATTGTAGGAGTGTTTGGATATAAATCAAACGATAATTTTAAAAATATTTTTACAATATACAAAATAAATATACGAAAAAAATTGTCTTATTTTATGAAAAAGTACTTTTTACACTTTTCCATATTACCAAACATCCCTAGCTCACAAAAACCTATCAAGCTATCACATAACACTAAGAGCGTGTTTGAGATCGCGTTGCACGATACCAAACACTTATTTGAAAGCTTAAACGAACTTCTGCCTAAATTTTGCTGTTTGGGATCATAGTGGAGTAAATGGGCTTTTTATGAAAAAGTTAGATTGAATGAGAAGATCAAAATTGTTGCTTCTCAGTTGTGGAGAGAGAAAAATAGAGAGACAAAAATAAGGTGAAAAAGAAAAGGATATTTAAATGGTCCCACTTAATTCAATAATTTTATGTTCATAAAAACATTATATGAAAAAAAATAACCAATAAAATTTAATTTGGAGAGTTTACTTTTAATAATTTTATTTTCCTTACCTATTCTAAAATAGTTACGTCATATGTAAATTTTTATTTTTAATAATTTTATTTTTCTTACCTCTTTTAAAATAGTCACATTATATATATATATATATATATATCTAATATTATATATGTACTATTTAATAAAATTTATATCCTTTTAAATCATTTTACATCTAAACTTACTTTTACATTTATCATCTAAACAAATTTCAATTTCTTAAATTGACTTTTTTACAAAACCCAATCCAAACATAAATCACATTATACTATTTGACTTTTACTCAATCTGACTTTTATAAAAGTCAGATTGAAAAAAAGTTACTCCTGCCACCGCTAATACGCCCACAAAACCAATTTATCAACACTGGCCTAACTCTCCTCATTAAAGCCAATGAAAGATTAATCATTTTTTACTACTCAAAAGCTCTTTCAAATTCTGAATAAAGCCATCAATATAAGCATCCATAAAGCCAGAACTGCCCAACACTCGCCTCCATTCCTCATGATTCTTCCTCACCCTCTTCCCCACTTCGCTCCCTTCATCCATCACTTTCTTCACTGCCTCGCACAGCTTCTCCTTCGAAATCCACGCCTTCTCCGACTTCTCCACTTCCACCGCTACCGCCAGCTCCTCCACCAGTATCCTCGTGTTCAGAATCTGATCACCCAAATGAGGACACAACACTATCTGCTTCTCACTCATCAACGATTCCCACATCGACCCAAATCCACAATGGTTCACAAAACAACCCACCGTCGGATGCTCCAGAATCAGCGTTTGCTGAACCCAACCTCTGCACACCATCCCCCTCCCTCCGACTCTCTCTTCGAACCCTTCCGGTAGGGCCTCGTCCACCGTCTCGCACCCTGCCGGAGGTTTCAGGTAAACCAGGAAGGGTAAGCCTGTGAGCTCGAAGCCTAGGAGGATCTCTTGGAACTGAGGCTTCTCGAGGTTGAGTTGGGACCCGAAGGCGCAGAAGACGACGGCCCGGGGTTGGAAGCCGGCGAGCCAGGTGGCGATGGAGGGATCGAGCTTTTGGTCTTTGGGTTCTCCGGGTAAGACGGGGCCGGTGAGGAAGACGGGCTTTTGGTATTGGAGGGACATGTAATCGCAGAAGCTGCGTTCGATCTCTCTGCAAGTTCGGATGGCTATGGCGTCGCATTGACCTAAGGCGGTGGTGATGCGGTCGTAGAAGGTTATGTTGTTGCTGCCGAACGGCAGGGAGAGGAAGAGTAACGATCGAGCTTCGTCCCCACGAAGCACCACCTTGGTTGAAGGGTAACCTGAAATTTCTCAAATTATCACCACTTGTTTGTTTGTAATAATATGAAAGAATATTGAAAATATGAGGGCACAAACATTGACGTAATCATCTATATCTCTTATAACCAAATTATAACCATAAAGTAAATATTTAATACTATTGGTTTTATTCTAGTCCTTAATATAAAAATTTGATTAATTTTGATAGATTAGACAAATTGTTAAGTTAATTATTTATAATAAATAGATGATGTTTTGCTTAAAATATCTTTTAGATATTAGCTTTAATATTTAATAAAATCTTTAACATATATAACAATTACAAAAACTATTTTGAAAAAAAATAAATAAATATGAGAGACAAATAAATTAGATTTTAAATTTAAAATTAAATTAAAAGTTAAACTAACTCTTATATTAATAACCAGAAGTAATAGTTTCGTTGTAATTTAAACCTTTCATTATAGTCACCTCATAATTTTTTTCTTACGCAACTTATTGACATTGAAAGAAGTTGAAAAAAATTGCAGTTTATTTACTTTCTTCCGTTTTAAATGTATAAGTTAAATAATTAGTATATAAAGATTAAAAAAATAGTTAAATTAGTTATTAATAAAAAATATATATTAATTTTTTAAAATTACTTACCTCTTTAATTAGTTAGATTGAAATTGCCTTGTTGATAAAAACTCTCCCTTTAATATTAATAGTTTAGGAAGATGTTATGTAAAGCATATCATCTAATTAATCATTAGTACTTTAATGTGAGGACCTCTTTAGAACATTGCCCTAGCTAAAATTTGTCAGAACAAAAGAATATTGTGGTGAATGTTTTTTCCTTGGAATGGAGGGGTTGGCTGAGCATGACTTGCTGGGAAAAGATTTATTAAACTCAGTTGTCCTTTTATGAGCTTCGTACCTTCCCGTGGGCTGCGCACTGAAAGAGATCATGTGATCCACCATAAAGGCAGTCGTTGTGATAGATTCATAGGCTAGGGAGGTAGTTGTACTGCTATTTTTCAGGTCAAAAAAGGCACGGTTGTGTTATATTCCCTCAGTTTGTATGGAGCGATAATTATTGCTCTGGGGCCACAACTTTTAGGAAAAAACACAAATAAACAACATAAAATTAAAAAGTTTATAACTTAAGGTCCATGACAACAATAATATAGGTTTTGATAATAATTTTTATAAACCGATTTTTATGTGTAATTTTTTCAATTTTACAATCTTTATTTGTGATTTTTTCCAGCTTTAACTTTTTTTTGGCCCAGGGGCCCAACTTTAACTTAAATCTCATAAGTTGAAGCTTGTTAAATTTTCTCATGTCAAGATAGTTTCTTGATTCATGAAACAGGTATACCATGTATATGCCTTTTAGGTTTCCTTGTTATACTTTTGCTGTAAATATCTCAGTTCATTGGTTGCTTTACATTTATAATTTTTCTCTTTTAAGTATTTATATTGATTAAACATATTTCATCAAAGGGACAGTTATAATGTACAAGATTAGAAAAGATATTCTAAAAAAATCAATAGATATTTGTTATAAATAATTAATTTAATTAACTAATTATTTTAATCTACCTAAATCACTTATCTAGTTCTTATATTAAAGATTAGACCAATTAATACTAAATATTAATCATTTTGAGGAGAGATGGAGAGGGAGAATGAAGAGAAGGGTAGACTATGGTTTAGCTTTTGAACCTGCAATACTATGATGAAAATCTAAAGCTTCATTAAACTAATCTTTTTTCTCTGTCAAGGCTCAGTAAACATACTCCCTAACAGTTCTTTTTTTTTTTTTTTTCCGAGGACGAGTTTGCAAGTTTAAACTCGTGGTAGAGGGTATCTAATGGGTATGTGAATTAGAGCAAATAACACTTGTCTCCTTCCCTTTCTTTAGAAAATTACAATAAGATTCCAAACAAGAAAAATAATTACTCAACAATTTTAATAACAACTTAAACAATCTATAATAACAAATTTCATAATAAAAAATAATAATTTGTTAAACTTACTTTGTAATTTTTCTGGGGGAGATCATTGTAAGTCTTTCTTACTTGAATTATTGAACAAATATACTCTAAATGTTATGAATCCAAAGAACTAATATTTTTATTAATAATAAATAACTAAATCGAGAGTTTATGCACTCAAAATTCAAAACTGAGGGGCAAAAAATAGAATATGATATATGATTAACCTGGTGGTGGCTGGCTGACCTCCTCCACCGTTAAAGCCCTATCCTTTGGAACCTTCCTTGCAGGGACGGGACCTATGGCCAAGCTTGCTGCGCAAACGACGTTGAAGCACACCGATTTGATCCCGAGTTTCCTGGCCAGTTCCGGAGCCCAAAACGCATTGTCGTACAACACTATCTCTGGTTTTGCACCTCTCAGTATATCCTCCACCTGGTCTTGGATAAGATCAGTGGCCGCGCACAGCAGGTGGTTTAACGATAAGGGTATCTCCGTCGCCGTTTCCGTCCCCTCCGGAAGGCCGGTGACGTGAGGGATTGTCACGAGGCGGAAGACGATGAGATCCGGGTGGCGGTTCAGGTGGCCGAGCTGAACCTGAGCTTTTTTCGGCAGCAAGTAGGTGATTCTATGGCCCCTTTTGGCTAGCTCGTTGGCTAGATGCAGGAATGGGGTCATATGGCCGGCGGCGAACCATGGAAACATAACAATGTGGAACTTCGCATCCGCCATTTCTGTCGAGTATCGATCGGTTCTTCTTTCTGGTTTTGTGATTAGAGTATCGATTTTCAGTGACTTGTTTTGGGATAGAGGAGTAGATCTCGGGTTGAAAAGTGAACAGAGGGATGATTCAACAGAGGAGCTAGAATCATGGAATGTGAAGAAGCTTGAGTTTGGCAAAGGTTGAGGAGATTTGAATGGTGATTTCCTGACCACCAAATTCTACACACATTCACACACACAATGGAAAGATATAACAAATTAATTTAATTTATATAGAAAATTAACTTATATATAACGTATACGCCTTTCAAAAGGAAAACATTTATGAAGCCAAAAAAGGAATTTAATCAAACACAAGAAGATTGTGTCTTTCTTTTCAGGGCAATAAGTGATTGTCGTACACTCGCCTCAAGGGTATGTTTGTCTTTGAAGTAATAGTTTATTAGTTAAGTTCTTGCAATAAATAGTCAAGGATCCAACTCTGACGGATCCAGCTGGGTGAGAACTGAAAACCATATACATTTTTTAAAAAGTTTATTAATAATTATTATAAATAGTTTCTAATTAAAAACATTTTTTATAATCCGACAATATAATGATTATTAGATAGTAAATTATGAATAATTTTGATATGGATTTTTCAAAGTATCTAATATTAAAATGTCATGCATGATATGTTAAATTTTAAAATATTATATGAACAATACAAATTTTTTTTATTTTCAATGTACTTTTACATTTAATTATATAAAAAAATACACTGTAAGAAAATCAGATCATTTGTGTTATTTACTCAAATTAGTCTTAATTAATATTATATGCAAATGACAAATATGCTTATATTCATGCAATTGTACTATTATTTCAGTTTTCTTAATTTTAAAAAAATGTCTCATCAATTCTCTTCCAATCAATGCGTTAGAAAAGACTGATAGATATGTACAGTATATTATAAGTATTAAGTATCACCATCTTTGTTTATCAGTAAGGACAAGTAACATTAATTATGGCAATATGGTTATTCTTTTGTATTTAAACAATATATGCATGTTGTCGTAGGATATATCCGAAGTCAACATATATATCCTCCTCCTTCCTGGCCTGGGAATTCTGATCAAAAGGAATTAGACGAAAGGAAAATAAACTGCTCTATATTTCTCCATGGCCTTTTCTTAAGCCAACCATTTCTTCATTTCTTTTTTCTTATATATATAAATCAAGTTATTTTCAAGTCACTTTAGGTTTGAAGTTAATCTCTGCTGGGCCGAGAACGTTAAAAAAATCAGAGTTCTCCTAATAAACGTGCTTCTTGACATTCGAACTCGTATTTTCTTCCTTACTAAGTTAACTATCTCAACTAATAATTTGTTAGTCTTCATTGTTTTTTTTCCTCCTTATTGCTGAGCATGTATATATTTTTGGAAAGATAATTCTATTTTGAGAACACTAATATGGGATTAATCCCTTTTAGTTACAGCGAGCATCTCTGACGTCAGCAACTGGAAGATGGGGTTGGTCTGAGATTGTGATGATGGAGGCAAAATAATGAACTAACAAGGATAACGTGTGTGCAATAATACAGTGTCGGAAAGGTACGTACATGCTCCCGTTTTTGGAAAAATTACACTCAGGTCCCACAGAGTATAATTAATATGAAAAAGGTCCTTCGAAATCGCAAAATGATTCTGAAGTCCCTAGGGACCTGTGTGTAATTAATTCTAATTGTGAAATTACGTAGTTACCCCTGTTAATTTGAACCTATTTACAACCTCAACAGTGACTGTTAACAACTCGAGAAGAGGTGGTTAACAACCTCAACAACGCCCCTGGTATTTCACAGAGTGAGTTGTCATGAGCACTGCCGAGGTTGTCAATCACGTCTTCTCGGGTTGTTAACAGCCACTGTTGAGATTGTAAACGAATTGCTGCAATAAAATTAGAACCTATTTACAACATCAACAGTGACTGTTAACAACCCGAGAAGAGGTGGTTAACAACCTCAATAATGCCCCTGGCATTCCACAGAGTGAGTTGTCATGAGCACTGTTGAGGTTGTCAATCACGTCTTCTCGGGTTGTTAACAGCCATTGTTGAGATTGTAAACGAATTGTTGCAATAAAATTAACAGGGGTAAGTAGGTAATTTCACAATTAAAATTAATTACACACAGGTCCCTGGGGACTTCAGAATCATTTTGTGATTTCATGGGACCTTTTTGATATTAATTGTGCTCTGTGGGACCTGAGTGTAATTTTCCCCCCGTTTTTTATCCACACATTTTGGAGGAATTAAAGAAGGCGAAAGAAATATTGCTGGGAAACAAGGGGAAAAAAACTATATTCATTCTCTTCCCCTTTTTTCAATAAGACCAATTAATTTACTTACTTTACGCAAATTGGAAAATTAGTTTAATGCTACTCCCGTCTCCTTCTGTCTTTATAATAAACTACAATTTTTAAAACGAGTGTGATCTTTTTTATTAATTAGCTACGCTTTTGGAGATATCTGAATATTTGATCCATTTTTCTATTTTTATCTATACTTAATTATATGTACTCTTTTCCATGCATATTCTCTTTTAGCCTTTCATGTTTTTTAAACTTCAACTCTCTATAAATAAAAGTGTATTTGAAAACATTGTATATTATTACTTTTACACAATTTTAACAAAGTTCTTAGTGTACGTAACCTAGTTATTTATTATGGCTTATAAAAAAACATTAGAGGGAGTTTTTTTTTTTTTTTTAAATAATACCTTCCTTAAATACTCTTTCGTTTCTTCCATATTGGGCACTTGTTCAACAATATGGATGGTTTTATATAGGAGAATTATCAAGAAGTCTCAAGAAAAAAATTTAATTACTCTAAAGTCCCAGTAATAAATGATCAGTTTAAACTTCTTGTCATTTTCTGTTCCAGAATTTGTCATCATTTACTTTTTATTTGTTGATGGATTTTAGGTAATTAAATCTCACCCTTGGAACCTAATTGTAATTCTTGCTTTTATATATTAGTTGAATCATTAATTAATTTTTTTCTATGATTGCCCCTCTTCCATTTTTTTTTCAGAATTACCCTTAAAGTCACTGGGCGATTACTTTTTATCAAATTAATGTGGATGCACTTTTTTTTGAAATGAGATTTTATTAAAAATAACTTTTAATGGTGATTTTTTTTTAAAAAAATGTGATTGGTAGGAAAAAGAAAATAAGCAAAATCCCATCATAAAACACGTTTTGGCACGTGTAAATTGAAGCCATTAAAAGAAATGCACAAATGAGGAAAGGCAAAAATTATCACAGGTTTTACGTAATAAGATTAAATACAAATAGGTTTCTTAAAATTTTATTTAATACGAATAAGATTTGAGAGAAATTTAATATTTTCAAATTTGATTGGTAAATAATGCAACTCCCATTTTATAAATATGAAGATTTGACATGCAAATGATCATGCAACTTGACTTATAAATATTAAATCCCTTAAGACTAATCAATATTAAATGACATTAAGAAAAATATATTCATATTTGTTTTTTTTTATCCGAAAAAAATGCACACGACGAGAAAAAAAAAGGAATTAGGAGCGAGATAAATAAAGGGTTGGTGGCTTAATAGAGAGGGACCATTAAATAGACAAGAATATTGATCCGACTCAATATTTGGGATTAATTACATATCAAATGTATCCTAAATAAAGTAGCATCTCATGCTTAATATAAGAATTATAGTATTTTGTCTTTTATTTTTATAATTTTGTCCCCGAAACATTCCTATTGATTATACCCATCTGGTGATCATTAATATATGACTTAATTGTTAAGTTAATTTTGATCCTAAATATAAGACTGATTTATCATATTTATCAGCTTTTTCTAAATTACTCCTATGTATACTCACTCAACCATAATCAAGTAAGTGATGGAGGGAGGATATTAAGAAAGATAATTATGGTATTTGACAAAAAACATGTCATATTTTTTATAATTAATTAACTTACCTAACTTTCTTAATATAATCAAATTAGTTAAATAAGTCTTATATTAAGAACCGTAGGAGTACATACTATGAGGCTCTGACTAAAGGTTGGTTCTAGCACATATGATTAAAGAAACCACCATAAGAAAGTTAAGGAGGCTACGCATGTGGATCAAAGAGATCAAAACTTGCCACTTCTCATGCCATACATGAATGAACCAAAATCATCAAGTGCAACTTTTAAATTCCATCACCGATGAAAGGACTATTGATGAGTAATTTGTAAGTACTACTCCGTCTCTTATTATAAGATCTGTCTAACTAAATTACACAGTTTAAGAAAGCAGTTAAAATTAATTAAAAGTAATTAATATGTAGCAAATGTAATTTTTTTTCAAATATACCCCTATATATAAATGGATAGATGTGAGAGAGTAATAATGAGATAAATAAAGAAAGAGAATGTATTAAATACATTAAACTAGGGGTAAAATAGGTAATAATACATTAAATATTCAGAAAAACTCAAAAGGAACCTTATAAAAAGGGACAAATATATTCAAAAAATTGAATCTTGTAATACAGGACAGAGAAATACCTTTATAAGTACTATTTGGATATGGAGGCATGCTCCTAACATTGATAAGCTTTCGAGGATCCAACTTATCTAAACTTTTGTATGTCAAAAAAAAAAATTATACCACCTCCAATCCTTAAGATAGCGCATGCTACTCACTTGTTTGAGACTTTTTAACTATTACATTAATATCTTCCTTGAAACCTCATTGAAGACCAGATCACCCAATCACTTCCCACAACATTTCTTTGAGGTAACGGATCTGGGCCTTAAAAATTGGACTCCCTTCCGGCCCAGTGTTAAACCTATATGTTTGTGTGTGTACATATACGGTAAGGTTTCTCAAAAAAAGAAGTAAGGTTTCTCAAAGCCCGGCCCATGAATCCAATTCATTTTACTCAGTTGACGATCCATCGAGCCCCATTCCTGTATCCGAGTTGGATAGTAGCAGTATGGATTTAATAAATGAAAATAGTCAACAACATAACATTTAGCTGGCAAAAAAAAAACATTTAATAATGACATCAATTACATAAAGGAGGAAAAATTGAATTAAAATACCACCTCGTTATAACACAAATATGTGCGAAAATTTTGATGTTCACATAGACAACAAGTACAGAGTCCTTATCTGGTTCTAATTTTGAGCACATGCTTATGTTCAT